CAGAAGAGGGCTTCGGATTCCCCTGGAACTGGACTTAAGGATGGTTTGTAGCTGCCATATGGGTGCTGGGAATCGAACCCAAGTCCTCTGCAAGAGCAGTCAATGCTCTTAACTGCTGAGCCATCTCTCTAGCCCAGTACTATAGTACTTTTAAGGGAAGTTACTTTTAAACCAGCCTCTGCCTTCAAAAGCTAGTCTAGTAGGGGTATGGCAAGAAAGGGCTTTCAAGTGTGCCATGTGTACCTTAAATTCCCACATTAAATAAGCCTTTTAGGAGTATTAGCCAGAAGGTATTACATATATATCTATATCTATATCTATATCTATCTATCTATCTATCTATCTATCTATATCTATATCTATATCTATATCTATATATTGATTATTGATAACGCTTTAGCTATTCTCTTGTCCATGCCATTTCATATTGCTAAAACTCTTCCTTCTGATCATCTATATATATATCTTTTTGAGACAGGGTCTCCCTGTAGCCCCAGTTGTCCTGGAGTCACTATGTAGTAGACCAGACTGCCCTTGAACTCACAGAGATCCACCTGCCTCTGCCTCCCGAGTGCTGGGATTAAAGGCGTGCACTACCACACCCAGCTCATATTTATATTTTTAATAACTGATCTAATAGCTGGATATTAAGACCATACCTGTTTAAAAAAAAGAGAGAGAGAGAGAGAGCGACCACACCTGTGATCCTTGTACTCAGTAGGCAGAAGCAGGAAGATCAAGAGTTCAAAGCCATCTTTGGCAACATAGTAAGTTCAAGACCAGCAGGGGCTACTTGAGACTCTGACAAACAAAACACACAAAAAAGAAAAGAAAAAAAGAAAAACAAAAACAAGAAAAACAAGGAACAACAGCTACAGGCACTGTTCTGGGAATAACAACCCACTCCCTCTTGCCTTCCAACAATAACAAAAAGTTGGTCTAATATTAACACTGCCAACTTCACAACAAAATTGTTTAGGTAATGTCTTGTGACCGATAACTTTACAGTACCTGTTCATTTTTCTGTAGAATTAGGTGCACATAAATTATTTACTTATTTATGTTTTAAGTACACCACATGCATGCAAAGCCCTTGGAGGTCAGAAGAGAACACTGAGTCCCTGAAACTGGAATTACTGCAGTTGCTGACTGTTGTGATCTGCCCTTAATGGACAATTTGAGAACACTGGAATACACAGATTGTTACCATACAAGGCAAAGACCAAATAAACATTGAAACAAAATTTTTTTGGCCTATTTGAGACAGGGTCTCCCTGTAGCCCCAGCTGGCCTGGAACCTGCTATGTAGACCAGGTTGGCCTCGAATTCACAGAGATCCACCTCCCTCTGCCTCCCAAGTGCTGGGATTAAAGGTGTGCACCACCACGCCCAGCTCTGAAATAAATGTTTATAAAACTCTATAGGAGTTTCTTTTAAATTTTTATTTATCTTTTTTTATGTGTATGAGTGTTTTGCCTGTATGTATGGAAGTGTACCCATGTTGTGCCTGTGGAAACCAAAAGTATTATTGTTAGGTGCCATGTGGGTACTGGGAACTGAACCTGGGTTTGTGTAAGAGCAGCTAGTGCTTTTAACAGCTGAGTCATACCTCCAACCCCTCTATAGTAGTTTTTAAAAGGCACATATCAGGTGTTGAGTCCAAAAAGAAAAGGAAAGAAAAGACTTCCTGACAGACGAAGTATTAGAAATGAGCTCCATGATCAGTACTTACAAGTAAAAGTGCAAATCAGTGAAAAGCTTTTTTAGGTCACAGAGTGGCAAGACTGAAATATTCAGAAATCTAAGCAGGAAGACACTAAAGTAAGCAGTTTAGCCTGCAGTCCACTGCAAACATTAGGTACGAGATAATTAGAATTTAACCTAGAAATGAGGTTAAGGACAAATCAGAGCTGCAGACACAGCTCTGTGGTAGGGCACTTACCTAGCATGCATGAAGCCCTGAGTTCAATCCCTAGTACTGAAAAAAAAAAAAAGAAAAAATCCAAAACAAAATGAAAAGAGGAAAGGAATGAAGGGAGGAACTTGTTTACCTACCGAGCTATCTCCCTGGGTTTTTTTAATATTTAAAAAATTATTTGTAGGAACCCAATAGAGGGATGCTTTTGGAAGCTCTTGTCAAGAAATCCCAAATGGACTCTGATATGAACATTTGAAAGTTGCCCTGTTCTGCCCTGTGCTGACTTTTTTCTGGTTCCCTGTCTAGAACTTGTAATGGTAACTACTTTTGCCTTTACTTCTCCTTCACATCCCCTATTCACCAGTCAAGGACTTTCTTTTCTCCTTATAGAGAAGAGTTATGCAATTTGGGAGTCTTTTAGATAGACCCACTGAAGGGGTACCTCAATTGCTTCACCCTGCGAACCTGTTCAGCATGGAAAAAGCGAGAGAAGTTTACATCCCAATTCCTATCGGCAATTTGGGTAACCTCTTCAGAGGATGGTGTGATAAGAATAGGAGGTAGGAACTGGCTAGGCAGTTAGGGTAAAAAATACCCCAAAGAAAAGTAGCCAGTCTCTTGGCTAAAAGTTAAAATGTCCTTGGGCCACTTAGTAACACGCTATGTTCCAAAGGCCAAAATTGTCAAAAGTATTTGAGAACTCTTATCTAATCCCTAAAAGGATTTTAGGGTTACCTCTTCAGAGGGAGGAATTTAGAGTAGCAAAAAGCCCCATTTAAAAAAGAAGAAAAGAAAGAAAGAGTACACGAAGTTGTCAGAAAAAAGTGATCGGGAGATATGGGAGGTGTTGGAGGGAAGGGAGTGGTGTGGATTTGATCAAAACACTTTATATGCATGTATGAAATTCTTTTTAAAAGTTAAAAAAAATCATGTGTAGGCTGGGCTTTGTGGAGCATGCCTATAGTCCCAGCACTGGGAAGGCAGAGGCAGGCAGAGCTCTGTGAGTTCAAGGCCAGCCTGGTATACATAGTGAGTTCCAGGCCAGTTGAGGCTCCAGGGAGACTCTGTTTCAAAAAGACCAAAAAGAAAAAAAATTATGTGTGGATGTATGTCTGTGGATCTGTGTACATATGAGTGCAGGTACTTTTAGAGACCAGAAGAGGGTGTCAGATCCTCTGGAACTGGAGTTTCAGGAGGTTATGAGCTGTCTAATGTGGGTGTTGGGAACTGAACTTGGGTCACCTGCAAGAGCAGTACATGTTCTTTATTTCTGAGCCATCTCTCTAGTCCCAGCTATTTTCGTGTGTGCATGTGTGTGTGTGTGTGTGTGTGTGTGTGTTTCAAGTTTTTTTGAGACAGGAGCTGTATTACTCAGACTCATCTAGAACTTGCTGTGTAGTCTCCCAGGCTGCCATTGAACTCAAAATTCTTCTGTCCCAGTCTCCCCAAGTGTTTCAGATTATAGGTTTATGCAATCACTCATAGAGGAAATACATAGTTTTGAAAAACTTTCTAAGTATGAAAATAAAACTGATATGGGAACCCTTGTAGAGTAGCAAGACACAAAGTTATTCATATTGCTGGGATCTTGAAGAAACTTAGAAGTCACACTAAACTATTGGGATTTATGAAGATAAGGGAAAGCTCTTCTTTTTTAAGATTTATTTTTATTTTATGTGTATATATGTTTTGCCTGCATGCATGCACTGTGTTCTTACCTGGTGCCTGGGAGGCCAGAAGCGAGCATTGCACTGGATCCTCTGGAACTAGAGGTACAGATGGCTGCCATATTGGAATTGGATCAGGGTCCTCTGTAAGAGGAGCAAGTGCTCTTAACTGCTGAGCTATCTCTCCAGACTCCCACTGCCTCCCTCAACCCTTTTTTAAGACAGGGTCTCACTATGTGGCCATGACTGGCCTAGAACTAGCTAGTAGACCAGGTTGGCCTTGAACTCACAGAGATCTGCCTGCCTCTGCTTCCTGAATGCTGGGATTAAAGGCATGTACCACCAGGCTGGACATAACCCCTCTCTTAAGCAG